ACAAAAATGGATCCCTTCTAAGGTTCAATCTTTTCTTTGCTAGCTATTCAAAATATATTATGCACTAAGAATTCCTTAATTCCTTACTTTACTGTAATATAATCCTAGTTGATCAAGTCTTTTGTATTTTTTTTTGTGAAAATAAGATTAAGACTTCAAATCATATTCTCCTCCATTGTAAACAAATGTGGAAATAATGGATGAAATTCTTGGATTAGTAAGGTATTAGTTGTTGACTTTCCTGCTGTGTGGATGATTTATTACATTAATAGCCCAACCTAATCTTCGAAAAATTCTAGTGTAAAGCTTAGTCTATGCTTTCTTGTTGTGTTAGCTAAAGTATATGGCTTATAAGAAACAAGGTAATTTTCCATGATGGAACTGCGGCCTTCAAAGATAGTTTCTCCTTAATTCTTTATTGTCTCTCAAATTGGCTAAAGTCTACAGATAAGTTCTTCATAGCTACTAACACTGTTTTAATTATGAGGCCTGAAGATATTATAGATCGATCTAACACTAAATCAAGGTTTTAAGTATGGTGTATCAACTCCTTTAATCTTGATGATCTTTTTTTATTATGTATTTGTTGGCTTTCTTTCTTCTTTTTTTCGTTTTGTATTTGCTTTCTATATTTGTGATTTTCTTTTCTTTTCTTTTCTTTTTTTTGCTTTTCTTCTGTGTATCTTGTTTTTTACTACCTTCCCGTTAGCCCTTTCAATATATCAATTTCTTCCCAAAAAAGACACAAATAAATTAAACAAAAGCATAAGTTAAGACCCAATCTCTTCTTAATTCTTCGGATTATCCTCTATCATTTATGATCACACTAGTATGTAAATTTGGTTCGGTGTCTCCGCTACTATAGTTGCTGCTCAGCTTACTCACACAGCTTTATCCCTGTGGTTATATAGGCTCGACAAATAGGGCATCGCGTCAAGTATTTCCCACAATCATAGCATGCCTGCAAAAGATTTGCGGAAATCAGAACGAGCCATTGTCAAGAAAGAGATGGCAATGTTAGGTCCATGCATCATGTTTTTAGGTTACCTGATGTCCGCAGCCGAATGCAAGATCTTTCTTATTGCATAAACACAAGGGACATTGCTGCAAAGCATAACGAAACATTTAAAAACTCGGTAACCAAGAGAAAAACTTCCATGTTATCTCAGAAGACTAGAGTATGAGATCTACCCGCCTGTTGTCTGAAGAATGATCTGCAGACGGGGAATAAGCATTATTGCTGCTATATTTGGGACAGGAATTAACCGAGTTGTTTCCAAGTGGAGGAGGAAGAGCAATATTCCTTACAGGAGTACCTCTTTGGAAGCTGCAAGGAGATGATGATGAGAGTGCAGGCTATCATTGAAAGAAAACTTGAACACACTTCAACTACTAAGCTGAATGTTAGTGGATATCGTATTACCCTAAGAGTTGGAGGTCTATTGTGGCTTTATATTGGGATGGTATTTCCATTAAAGCATTCAGAGCAAACTCTGTCTCCTTCTTCGACATGGGAATGTGCTTCGACATAATTTCTGTGAAATTCACAAACTGCATTGAACAAACAACGCATTAGCAATCAATTCGACTTCAAATAATCGAAGCTTCTGTCAAAGTTCCCTAAGTTAATATTTCAACCTGAAAATTATCGAATGCCCGACAAGGAATGTTGTCATCGAATTGATGCATCATGTCCCATGGTCCATCACCAACTCCAACCAGCACAATTGACAAGGGATAATTACTGCAAAATTAAGGATTAAAAAAATACAGATTTTGTTAAACACAAACTGCAAAATGTTGAAAAAATAAATTTTTTAGAATATTAATACCTTGCTTTTACAATGGCATTAGTAGTATTCTGCTCCTGGGGACTTAACTGTCCATTAGCAGTGTCTACACGTCTTGTAACCTGACATATCATGCAGTCAAGAGCATTAATAAAACGTTTCAGGGAAAGATTTAAACTCTTAAGAGGTAATGGTTACATCTGCAGACTTCAAAGTAGAAGGAACTGACCTGTCCATCAGCAATGATCAGAAGAATATGATACTGACCACCACTATTGTCCACAATTTCAATAGCAGTTTCAATGATTGGAGCAAAAGATGTTGGTCCTGTCATGGCTCATCGCAAGAAATTTTTCACCAGAAGTAGGTCAAAGGAAAACTTTACGTGATCAATGTAAGAAGAATCGTTTAAACTAACCAGCTAAGTGAACATGGGGGACTAATTTTCTGTAACGACTCCGGACTTCCTCAAAGCCATGGCATACTTGATCATCTGGATAGAAGCTAAAGACTTTTTTATCATGAGTTGTGTCTGCAAACGAATTTAAAGACTTCAATGATACAACAGTCCATTCTATGCCCCTAAAACAGTATGGAATAGCAAATTGCTGAATAAATATGCCATGCATCTTGCATTGAGCAAGAAAGGTAATAGATGACTCACCATCACCAAAGCCAAAACAAGGGATGCGGTTATCCTCATCGAAATCTGACAACGTTCTTCCTATTATTGAAATTGCCTGTTCATACGGATTCAGAGAATCCCCAAGGTGATGCAGGCTCTTATGATGGAAAGACCGCGAGCCGCTCCACTCATTGCTTTTGGTAAAATCAATACCTACAATAAGGTTGGAAGATTCCAGACCAGCTTGCACAAGAGCTTTCGTAACCTACATAAGTTGTGCGATCAGGTTTTACTATTTCTTTTTCTAGTTCTAGAGGCCAGATGAACTCAATGTTCAAAAATACAGAAGGAAAAACTCTTGTATTCCTCTAATGGTAGCAGGTGTGTGTGGGCGCCACAAAAAAGTGGGGATGAGGAGGCAACAACTCAGATATCTAAATTAATTAGATAGTAAGTAGCTGCAAAGGAGAAGCATTTTCACCTGCTCAAGAGAATGGTAATCGTCACCATTTCTTGAATACCTTGACTGCAGCTTGCTTCTTCCACCATCATAAGCAGCATGACTTGCTGAATATAAAGTGCTTGGATATTTTGATGAAGCCCCATAACAATACGAATCATGATGATGACCCTGATTCCTTGAATGTTTGCTTCCCATATTGATGCTGCCAACTTTCTGATCGTACTGGTTTTGGTACAAACTGCTCATCAAACGATTTCAGTTACATACATAAGCTTTCACATCTACAACTATATAGCGGCTCAATAATTTAGATATTCATAAATATCCCACTCACTGAGCAACAACTGATACTAAAAAATAATACAAAACATTCCATGACAAGAGAAAATTCTTTTTTTAAAAAAAAACACCTAATAATTAACTTGGATTATAAAAATGACAACTTGAAACTCTATTCTTCATATATCAGTCAGCACCCCGCAGGATGCAGATAATCATTCAAGAATCTATGAAGGTTATATAAACTAATGATAAGCATTAGCAGAGGAAAATACTGAATCAAATAAAAAAGAAAGAAAGAGGTAAACTGTATTTTTTGATAATACAAGAGGTAAACTACACACACACACATAACAAAAATACAAAAAGGCAAGACCTTTGAAATAGTAAAGGCCAACGCTAAGTAACCTAAATGAGAAGGCAAGAACAGCTTAGTAAAGGTCAACACTAAGTAACCTATACGAAAAGGCAACAAGGAATTAAGATGAAGCTTCTCATTCTGATCATGATGCATGCCAACCCCTCAATTATAATGAGAGGTATAAGCTCTCTTCAAGTTGCTAGCTAAGAACTTACCAGGTAAATTAATTATCATGGGGCCTAAATCGAAAGTAATTTAGTCAGCAGCAACATTCAAAAGGTAACTTCTTTGAAACTAGCAACAACATGAGATGATGAAATCAAACTTCGAACCCTTCACTTTTATTAATCAAGGCATATACCCCCCC